TATAAAATATTTTCACTATTAAGAAAACTATAAATATAAAATTAATAAAATAAACACTATTTTATATAATTAGAATAGAGAATATTATAAATTATTATTCGTTTGCGATCTTTCACTTAAAAATTTTTAATTATCTAATTTAGATTTCTTTCGATATTTAATCCCATGTTATCAAATATTCACCATTAAGACTTGCAGTACCATATATTAATCCATCCCAGGATTTTAAAAATTTAAAATCAATGACCTGTTCTAAGTTACAATAAAAATCGCTTGAATTATTAAATGTGAATTTAATTATATTTACATTTAATCCATTTTTTGAAATCAAAATTTATTTTTCTTGTAGATAAATTAATGGAAATAGACCATTACAATTTTTCTCGCCTCCCTAAACTTATATATCTTTATATTTCTAGAATAATCCTGTATTTAAATTTAAAGTAAACAAACACAGATAGTTATTTCTAGGTTAAAAGGCAAATAATTTATTATTTATAAAGGATATTCGATATCCAAATTCTTTGACTTTTATACTTTACTTAATCTACCATTAATTTTCAAGCTCCTCTAATATTAATATTAAATAGTCAGCTCCACATGTTATTAATTTATTGCCCTCTTTATTTATTGATAAACCTTCAATCTATTTTTTATGTTCTGTGATAGTTTACGAGCAAATCCAAGATTATTTGAAGGAGGTATTGCTAGATTACGATTAGAAATAAGAAGATTGCTACCAAAATTTTATTTTCTTATCATATGATCCGCTAATTATCAAATTTTCATTTTTCGGATGTATTACCAAACATGTTATCCAATCCTAGTGACCCCTTAATTTAGTCAAATATTTAGGGTTAGCAATCATATTAAAGGACCATATTATGATTGACGAATCATTTGAACCAGAAATAAAGTGAGATCTACTTTGAAAGGTATTTAGTGTAACTACCTACTTTTAATGCTTTTAAATTATGTTTAATAATTTCAATCCATTTTTGAATTGTAATACTTTTATGTTATTTTATTACCCAGCCACTAAAATATTATTAGTTTTATTTATTGCTAAAGCAAAGCAATTTAGGTCTTAATAGTACCGAATATTTTAGAGTAATTCATAAGAAAAAGTGTTGGGACGTAATGATGTTTCTTATTTAAAATCCATTTTACCAAAAGTTTTTATATTATTCTTAAATATTTATTTTATTGCTAATTTCTAGTTAATTTCTTAAAAAGATCAATTTATATAATAATCAAGATAATATTGGTTGAATTTGCTTGTGATAATTATCATGTTTTCCTTCAAAAATATACAAAATATTTTTCAAATTACTGAATATTCGAATCTTAATTCTTTAAATTTATTTATGAAGAATAAAATATATATTAAATAGAAAATATATGATACTTTTATAAAATTTAGATAATAACGAATTGCTTTGTAAATACAAAATTTAAGGTTAAGGTATTTTTCCAGATACTTCCTTTAATGTGTTAAATTTAATAAAATGTTACAAATTGAAGATTCTTTACATGTATTTTATATTTATAGTTTAACATTTTTTTGTAATTAATGAATGAATGTAGAATTTAATTATAAACTTATTTTATTTTTTTGAGTTGCATTGAAAGAAACTAGTTTAAATATAGAATTAATCAAATATTATATATATAAATTAAAGTATACCTAATATTTTAGTTATGTCAACGATTTTAATTTTTTCAAGCAAATTAGATTGGGTGCTTGTAGATTCAAATTCTTAAAAAAGTTTACAATTCAAATGGTTGGAGTATGTCAAAAAGGCTTGATTGCTTGGAAGGTGGCCTTAATTTTAGTATATTACTTGTTCATTTAATTTTATATAATATGCTAATCTTAAAAAGATTATTAATAAATGGATAAGAAATTTATGAATAAATGTTATTGATCTGAATCAATTGTTGACAATTTTTCTTAATGATGCCGAAAATTACAAAAATGGAATAGCAAATTTCACATTTAACTTTACTTTAATCTCTAAAAATCAAATATTGAAAAAAGAAGTCTCATTAATTCTGATTTAACTCAAAATGCAAGAAGAACATATAATAACATATTTTGGCTTTTAAACTTAAGGTGATGTCCAATTAATTGTGATAAGGAATTTCTTTTTATGCTCAAAGTCTTTTTTAAAAACTTTTTAAAATTGTTCTAGTTATCATCTTTGTTTAAATTATTATTATGGTAGTCTCTTAACAGATGGATCGTGCCTTTTTGACCATTAAAATTAGTTCTGCTCAAATAAAAATTGGATACAGATAAGAATGTGAAAGAGATTATTTTAATTAAGATTAGATAACATTTGTTCCAAATAAATAATAAAATCTTTTACTTGATATTTTCACTTTATATGAAATATTAAATATTTTCAAGAAGCTTTTCGCTTACTTATCAATTAGCTATACCTAGTAAATTCATAATCAAGAAATTTATTAGTCTAGAAATTAATTTTTATAATAAAGGTTTTTAAATTAATATAAGGTTAATTGGGAATCTGGACACACAAAATCTAATTGTTTATAGAATTAATTTTGATAATTTTATTCTAATATACAATCTTACAATTGTGGATAATTTAATTAACCAGGATGTTTGACTAACAATTCTTCAAGATTAAATAACAATTTAATTAATGAGAATCGTTTATCATTTAATGTCCTATCAAGTCAAACTATTGTTTGTAATAAGGATTTTTAAACTTGTTCAGATTTTTTGAGAACAAATTGTTTAACACAAGTTTCTGATTTTCATAAATCAATATAAAATAATCAATGTTATTGTTAATTAATTAGGTAATTATGATGATGGTATAATTTACTATGCCATCCAATAAGTGAATACGTGGAAATTTTTAATTGAAGATCGGAGGATTGTGATGATAGTAATAAAAATCGTTATGATGGATGCCATTTCTATAACTTAAGTTGTGATAATTTTTGGAAAGAATGAAAAAAAGGAGATTTTTGTAATTCTTAAAAAGGCTTTGAGGTTGTTTATAATTAATTTATGTACTGTCATTTTTGGTAATGATCTTTTAGTTGTCAAGAAGAATGTTAAGGTAATAATATTATTACGTATAATGGATGCTATACTTTTAATTTTACTGCACAAGTTTTTGTGTTGAGTGCTAATTTAACGAATATATTAAATTTGATTAATTATATGGATGGTATCTTAATGCAACACTTCCTAACATCTTAATTGAAATAATAAAAGAACTTTATAATTAATGGAAATTAAAAGAATTTAATTTAAATAAATAAATGTATCAGAAGATATCATTTATACCTATAAAATAAGAAAAAAATTTAAAGGAAAATTTAATTGGATAGTTTAATATCAATAACAAAAGTAATGTTAATAGTATTATAAATTATTTTTCGAGTTTTCTAACAATCAAAAATTCTAAATAAATTAAGAGTTCATAACACTTATGAAATCATAAAATGATAATTAGTTTAGTTTAAAATAGGAAGTGGCTAGAATAAGTACACTATTTGGATTATCAATTTAGTTTTATTATATTAAATTTTGTGTAAAACAGAAAGTTTACTTACAAATTTTAGCAAAATTTCAAGTATAATCATAATTTAATCTTTGTATGTTTTTTTGAGATTAAATCTATTTTTTTCCCGAGCTATTTGCATTTTATCAGAATATAATTTTATGAATAAGTAAAAATTCTATTAATTAAAATATCAAGATAGGTTAATTCTAAAATTAATAATTAAATGTTAATTACTTTAAATCAAATCAATTATTAATATCCTGATTAGATTCAGTGCTAAAAGTATATTCTATAATAGCATACATAGAGTTTGGTATCTTATAAATTATAATATTAATTTAAACTCTTTCGTAAAATTAAATATAATTAATTGAATTATAATTCAAATTAACATGATTTAAAAAACTCAATAATCAATTAAAGCTCATCAACTAATTAAATCATTCCAATTATAAAATTAAACTTTCTCTAGAAATTTACTATTTCCTTTAATAAAAGTTTAAAATAATTATTTAACTTCTTTTTAAAAATTTTTATCTTAGGTATCAGAATAAATCAATTAACTTTTTAAGAGATGATTCAATTATTATATTTCAAAAATTAAATTCTTAATTAAACTATTAGTTTATAATTCAAATTAATTACATATATTACCAGGTACCATGCAAATTAAATTGATAATATCACTTTTTGAAACACAATAATTGCCACTTTATGATTCCAACAGTTTCAACCAATTAAATTCTTTCAAATACAGAATTATTAAGAAAAAAATTTATTTTTAAGATTTATCGGAAGATATTGTTGTTAAAGTAATATATGAATGGATAGATTAATGCTATATAAATTCAAGAATAATTAGACACATCCTTATTATTATGCTCAACACTATAATAAACACATATATTATATATAAAATATTGTTTTATATTTATCTATTTTTATTAATAATTATCATTATTATTTATATCCCAAAATTTATATATCTTTAGATAAACTATCCCAAGTAATAAAATACTCTCCATTATTAATCAATTAACCAAACAATTAATTTGTATAAAATTGAATAGATTACTCATATTTAAATACATCTTTTTCTGTCTTTCTTAAAAAATTGACATATGTATCAAGTTTACTCATTAAAATCTATTTTTATTAAATAAATAATAATGAAAATAATGAACAACTTTCACTACCTTAATTAACAATGATATCTTTTTTTTTTAGTGAACTATTTCCTTACACTATTCATCTCATAAACATACATTAATTTGCCATAATAAGGTTTAAATGTGAATAGATTATTGTTTATAAAGCATAATCTAAATCCATAAAAATCAACTTTGATATTTTATTTTACCATCCACCTTTTACTATATTCAGAATATTCAATTACTAATATTGTTGAATCCTATCCACAAGAAATAACTTTATCTTCTTAATCATTTAAACTTATTTAATAAACTTAAGAAGTATGATCAGTGTGATTGATTATTAATATATCCATTCTTTTTGTTTATTCCAAAACTTAATAGTATTATCCCCACTACTTGATATAAAAAGATCTTCATTCTTATTCAATATTAAACAATAAATCCAATGATTATGTCCTTTAATTTTTTATGAGTAATTTCATAAATAATTGTTATTGCTTGATCAAATTACAATAGATCCATCTCTATCTCTGGATATTAATTAATCTGATTTTTACATGAAATTTGAAGTGAATACATAATTATTATATTAATTTAATACTTGAATTAAATTCATGATTCTTTATTTGAATTCATATATTTTTATTTATTTATCACAACCAATAGCTACAATTGAACAATCTTTATTTATTTCAATTACACGAAAACATTATTATTCTTTAATTGAATTAATTTAAATTATTTAATAAGTAAATGGTATTAAATTGAATTAAGAAGATGTAGATTGAATAATTGCTTTTTTTTCTATTGATTATGATGATTACTATATTAATGTATTTTATTATAATTTGAATTGAACTTGCCCTTTAATTTTTGAATTTATTAATGGTTTCAATTCTAAAATAATGTTTGATTAAAACTCAGATTAACCAATAAAATTAAATTAATTAAATTTTGGATAAGATAATTCAAATTTAGGATTACTAAATTTACAAATTGGAGAATCTATTATCAATAATTAATCAATCTAATTAACTCTATTATCAAAATATGACTAAAAGATATATAAATTAATAAATACATCTAAATGCTTTTCTAATTTTATCATATTACATTCTAATTCTCTATTTAACATTTCGTTTATTGACATTTTTCCTATTTCTATTTAATTTTATTAATTAACTTATTATTAGTATTTAAAGAGAAAGATGATTTAAAATATAGTATTTTTAAGAAATCAACACTTTCATTAAGCTAAAAATAAAAATTAATCTATTTATGTATTTTTATATATTCTTAAGTAACTTGTTAAGCCTAAAGTCTGTAAGCAAATTGAAATTAGTTTATTTTGAATTAATATTTTTCTCAAATTTTTTTATAGTTATCTAAAAACTGCATATAGTTTCGAATTGTTTTTAGTTGCTTTAACCATCTTTCAATGAAACTAATTTTACATACACTAAATAATTTCTATTTATTTTTATAAAGTAAATATGTATATAACAAAAATTAATCTACTTCCTTAAATGTTTTATTACAAGTTTTATCTTATACTTTTCTCTCAATTCTTCCTAATTCATTTAGACATTTGGCTCATTAATGGATAGTAATCTAAGTAATATAAAAAGGAAAAGAAATTAGTAATAGATAATATTTGTTAATAGATGGAGAGGAATTATTCCTAGTTGTCGTAACTATTTGAAATCCAGAAATCAAATATTCAAATTTGATGTCAAAGATAATTTAGTTCTTTCTAGAAATTTGTCTCTAAAAAAAGAATTTATTTCAATAAACTTAGTATTACACATAAAAAGATTTTAGAATCTGTAAAATAATTTAATGAATTTTGGGAAATATTTAATTAATGAATATGGATCTATTTTAGTCTGTATCTGAGATTAAATTCAAACAATTCATTTCTTTCTTTTATTTAAACCAAATTTAACTGAGGTTTAAAATTGATTATTTTATCATTTAGTTAACATTCAAAAGTTGATTCACAAATATTGTTAAGTATTATATATCGCATCAGAATTTACAAGTTTACTAAATCTATAAGTTGTTATTTTTCTTCAAAAATATCAGAGTAAGATGAATTTTTGAATTATGGACAATAAAAATTTAGAGGACATATTTTGCAGATACATCACTATTAATGATTTATATTAAGTTTAAATTAGATAAAACAAAAACGATTCAGATTTACAGATTTAGTTTTGTAAATTTCATTTTTTTTGAACTTGACTCCAAAATTTTATATATATAGCTATATATATAGCTAATTAAATTTTATTTTTCATGAAGAGTAATTATTGACCAAGATATTAATTTTAGAGACAAAGGAACTCTTTTCACTTTACTCGTTACTTATAGGTCTAGATCTGTTTTAAGGGATTTCGTATAATAAATTTTAATTGCAAAAATAATTAATCTAACCCCACCTCCCATAATTATCAATGAGTAATCGAACCAAGAAGCAATGGCATTCCTCGAACTTCAGATAATAAGCTCCCTAAATTAAAAAATAAGAAATTGAAACTCTAGAAAGAAGTCATGATTGAATAATTTAATAATAGAGATGAGAATTAATAATTTAAATATGAGACTAATTAGCTATTAGATTTGGCAGAGAAGGGGCTATCAGAAATAAGATAATTATAACAAGACTATAGTTATCAATAATTGAATGATTGCCTAGATATGGATGAATTAGAAACTATCTTAGATAATTAAAAAAAAGCGGAGTCTGCTATAAATAATAAAGAAAATACACCAGACAACTTAAATGATTACTTAATACTGAATATATAATCATTCGAAAAATTAGAGAAAATGGTGGAATCAGGTAAAGGGAAAAACAAAATGGCACCAGCAAAGGAAGTGAGAACAGAATAGAGTCATGAGCAAGGCTAGGACAACGAATTAATATAAATGAATTTTGATATTCATAAACTTAAATCAATTGATCAATTTTTTTTTTCTTGTTTTTTTTACATAGGTATAATAACTTGGTACCAATTTAGTTGATTAAATATCTTGAAAATGATGATATATAAAAAAAGTAAGTTTCGATTTCAATAAACGTATGAATATTTTAAACTATTTTAAGCTAAGATGTTTTTATATAGCATCAATATCAAAAAATATATAAAAATTATTTTAATGAAAATAATTCGACTGCGTGAAACCAGACGTAAGTTGAATAAGGGGTTAAGGATACTAATTTATAGTCGAGACTAGAAACTAGGAGGGGCTCTGAGAGATTGGGCATACCTATACTTCTCAAACAGCTATGGAAGAGATATCTACCTTTGGTTCAGAGATATGACGTCAGGCCGATTGTCATTCCGATCGTCAGGCCGTTAGTGTTCTGGTCCTAGAAACTTCCATACGATATAAAGCAGACTAGGGGTAGAGAGTTTCCTTGTACTCGGCCAAGGCTCTCACCTTCTCCGAATCTGGCTTCCCTGCGCAATGGATTGGAAAGACAAGTTTGTTCTTCTAAAACCTTCTTTAACAAGAATTTTTATTAAAATGTCATAAATTTAGTACATCATCTATGATGAGTATTTTTGGGGCACTAATAGAGTCACAGAAGCTTTAAATTAAAAATGATTCCAATGAAAAATATTTATACATATCATTCAATCTATTATTTTTATTTTTATCAAAAAATCATACAAATAACTTTTCCATTATGAAAATTAAGTTTAACTAAATTTAATATAGAGAATTTTTCTAGAAGGTTTAATGGTGGATGAATAGAGATATCAGATATCATTTTGAAGATTGAGATAGTTGAAGTGTTTTGTTAATTATACTACTTTTAGTAATAATAATTTCGAGAAAATATTACATATAAAATAATTAAGATTATTGCTAATATAAAATTGTAATAATATCATATTTTTTAATTTTCTTTTAGTCTGAGAATTAAATAATTAGTGAACTTATTTATAAAGGGCATTTGAATAGAAACCAACTTGTATATTATAACAGTTAGACTAACTGTAAATATATTAAAATGATAGCCGAGAACTTTATCTATGATTTAGAGAAAATAGAAAATTTAAAAACTAAATTAATATTTATTCTACTATTATTTAGTAAAAATTAAGGGAAAGAAATCTTCCTTTGATGAAGTAATCTGTTTAGTTATGCTTCAGGATTAATAGAAATGGATGAAAACTAGTGATGAAAGGGAATTTTACATTTTTTCAACTTATAAAATGGGGATAGAACAGAAAACTGATATTGAAGAATAATTTTTTGGATTCAAATTCAAAGAGTTTAAATTTACATTCTTGAGATTACGAATAAAAGTGAAAGAAAGACAGAAAATGATGAAATAATAGGATAGTGTATTACATTATGTGACATTAGAGAATTAAGGATTCATAGGTAGCAATTATCGAAATTCTACTAACTAGAGTCAATAAATATTATGCCACTTTGGTTCTATATGGCTGCTATTGTTGATTCATAATATTGAATATAATACGTAATCATATTCAAATAACACATCTTAAGTGGTAGAAATATACATGATTAATTTGAATAAGAGTGGATATCTATCAAGCAAACTAAGATTGATTTGGATAAATGTGATCTTTAAATATTTATAGCTAAATGCTGTATAAATTAAGTAATGCTTAAATTTCTATTTTCTTTAATATCTAAGAGTTTAGTCGATTTAAATATCATAAAATTGCTAATCTATTCAACAGAATAAAATACAAAAATCTATTAATTTATACCTATAAATTTTCTAATGTAATAGATAAATAATATAAAATAGATAAGAACATTTTATTTATTTACTATATTAATAAATCTTTATGAGTAAAATGTAATTAAAAGAGAATTATATTTAAACCGAATCTTATATTCGAAATTTAAACTATTAGATTATTAAGATTGGATATTTATAAGTTTTATTAATAAAACCTAATAATTGATTTAATTTTACATATTACCAAATTTTCTTTTTAAATTTTTATATAATTTATTTTATATCTTCTAATTTGATTTACTAATATTATCCTAAATAAAAAAAAATTAAATGACCTCAAACAATTTAGAATATTGTAAATTCTTGCTAAGAAATGAAATAGGATTGAAATATATTATTGCCACTCAATTTGTAAAGGCTTTTCAAAAGTCAAGGGAAATTTTAGAGAAAATTCTATATGTCTACTCACGCTATCAACTAAAGAAATTTGTTAATTTTCGTATTCAAGATTTCAAAGCTAAAATAAAATTTCAAGAACTATTGCAAAACTTTATTAGCATAGTCATCATGGTGCTATAATCAATTTTTATTAAAAATAGTCTCAGAACCAAACATATATTTATATAAGTCTTAGAAAATTATCTATTTACGATCAAGGCAAACATTAGAGTAAAAATTGATAAACGATAAATTATTTATAAAAAAGAGTAAGTCAGCATTTCTTGTTTAGTAAGGATATTTTATCTTAAAATTTTGGTTAAAAAAACATGGCAAATGGCTAAAGTATGTCATCAAAATACTAAACTAACTGCAATTTTAAAGAATTCATTTAAAATTTAAGCATAGTAAAAAGAAAGATATATCTTGATCAAGTTATAAATAAATTGATATACATCTGGATTTTATATAAAAGATTAGAAAAAATCTTTAGGAGATATCGTAATGATTAAATCATCAAATTCTAATAAATATTTATATAATGCAACTGCTCGTTTAATATTTTTGCAAGTGTTAAATATGTTATGTTGATATGTCATTAATTGATATTTGATAATTTTCTTAATTATTTAATCATCAAATATTTGATGAATTTAAGAAATTAAATTTCAATTTAGGTAACATCAACAATTTTATACTAAACGACAATTTTACCCTCATTAATAAATTAAAAATTATATATGTAATAGAAAAGATATTAATTTAATATATTCAAGTTATAAAGCTCGTTTGTCAATTGTGTTTTCTAGATCAAAAAAAACTTTTGCATACAAAACTTCTTATTTATTATTATTTCATAGTCAATATATTTAATTCCATAGTAGGAAGGGTTTAGCATATCTTCATATATTCATATACATTTTTAGGTTTATCTTTAAGTTCATTTAGGTTTTTATTAAAGAGCTTGGTATTAATCAGAGGTATCTTGAATAGATTCTCCTTAGGTATGACTATTGTAGCCGTGAGAGGTTTATGATTCGACAAATTATTAAAATAGCTCAATTGATTAG